TTTGTTTGCAACCATAAGGTCACCGGTTCGAATCCGCGTAGGGGTGGGCGTCCTCGCGGTATACTTAGCCCGCGCGCGAGCGCGGCAGCGAAGCGCCGTTACGGCGTACTGCTGACACGTTATCATTATTATGCCAGGTGCATACACATACAAGTGATATATGTCAAAGCAAAGTTACGTGTGATATCTTACATGGGCATCATTACATGCAAAATTCGGTGCACAACTGTCCAACGGCGCCTTTTGCAGAAATGCACTTAGGCGGGGGAGTGGCTAATTTTGGTACCGAAAATGGCCTGGAAGGGTTTTGTTCAAGTTCAAGTGGGACTGGAACGATAGGATGAATCCCGTAAGTGTTCCTTCTTGAGCGGGTCGTCGATCCAGGAGTTGATAGGGGTGCTCCGACTTCTTGATGGGTCTAAAAGGAAAACACCCGAAAAACACCCTGGTCCACCAATTTAATGCCCACGTTCCTAACATTAGCTGTCCCAGCTGTGTCAGTTACGTGAAGTAAGTAAGAGAGGAAGGAGAATCGAAGGTAAGAGAGTAGGGGAAATCAGTTAAAAGAAGAGAATAATACCAATGACGAGGAAAAGCAAAGAAAATAGAATCGAAGTATGAAGATGGGAATTTGTCAGGAAAACGGAAAGGTTTCGTGTTGCCACCCAAGAGCATCTAGTTGACGCTCAAACCCCTTAACCGTAGCTTCCTTGACAACATTTTCTGGAAGCAGGTTCCAGCGCTCGATGACTCGACGCGATAAGCGTGTCTCCGCTCTAACTCGATCGGACCGCGGTTTGTCCAGCTTCATACAATGCCCGCGGAGACCAGATAATCTAGCAGGACTAAATAGCATGGACAAATCAGGGCCAACCTTCCCAGTCAAAATACGGTAGGTTAGGATTAGGTCCCCTCTAATTCTTCGATAGTGCATTGACTGCATTCCCAAACTAAGTAGGCGTTCGGGGTACGTTTGCCCTCGTAATCCCTTGACCAACCTAGTACCGACACGCAACACCCTTTCTAGTGCCATTTTGTCCCGGACAAGGCATGGTGGACAGGCCTGGACGCAATATTCTAGGTGGGGTCGCACAAACGCTGAGAAGAGCTTCACAAACACATCAGCGGTTAGGGTCCCAAAAGAACGACGGATAAACCACAACATTCGGAACCCTTTACTAGCCGCCTTCTTCCAGTTGTCTCCAGAGTGTAATGTGGAACAGTGGACGACACCTAGATCAACCTGATGAGTCACGTGAGGAAGTACAGTCCCATCGAGCACATAACTTGTGGAGGAATCAGACGCTCCGATACGCAGCACTGAACACTTTGCCCGGTTTATAGGCAGCAACCACAAGACAGACCATTCCCAGAGTTTATCCAGAGCCCGTTGAAGAGCCATAGGACCTCCAGGGATATCAACAATATTCCAGAGCTTTAGGTCATCTGCAAATAAAAGCGATTGTACCTCAAGCTCCTCCGGCAAGTCATTCACGTAGACTGAGAACAGCAGCGGACCTAGGACAGAGCCTTGCGGAACGCCGCTAAGCACAGCCTGTCGAAACGAAAGACTGCTTCCCACACGAATACACTGTTCCCGTCCATCCAGAAAAGCTGACACCCACTGGAGAGCACGACCAGCTATTCCATACGACCTCAACTTCAGCGAGAGTCGCGAATGGGGGACAGTGTCAAAGGCCTTGGCGAAGTCAATGAACACCACATCCACCGCATGTCCACTGTCTACGGCTTCAGCCCAGCACTCTCGAGCTACCAGCAAGTTCGTCTGACACGAAAATCCTTTGCGAAAACCATGTTGCTCGACGCTAAGCAGGTTAAACCTACTTAAATGGTTCTCCACTGTATCTCGTACTATTTTTTCAAGTAACTTAACGACCACGCTAGTCAAGCTGACAGGCCTGTAATTAGCCGGTAGGTCTTTGTCACCGCACTTGAAAATCGGGCAGACAACAGCCTCCTTCCATTCGGTAGGCAAGATACAGCTGTTGAGTGACTTCTGAAACACACAAGTCAGAGGTCCACTGAGTTCCCCTGCCAATTCGTGCAACAATTTTGGATGAACAGAATCTGGCCCAGAAGCCTTAGTTGGGTTCACCTCTTTTAGCAACCGGAGAACTTGGGACTCCGTTACAGGAATTTCATCCAGACAACAGTCCTCAGGGACTCTTGGAACTAACTCTTTGCATGGCGTATTTGTCTCGCGGACAAAGACGCTTGAGTACTGCTTACCAAGCACGCATGCCTTGTCATAGTCGCTATAGGCATGGGTCCCATCTCCTCGAAGCAATGGTGGAATGGGCGAGTTTGCACCACAGCGTCGTTTAACGTAAGCAAAGAATCTCTTGGGATTTTTCGAAGCAGTATTAGCTAAGCCCTTTTCATACTGAAGCCGGGCCAACCTAAGATGTAGCTTGCACTCATTTCGAACCAACCGATACTTGTCAAACGTGCTGTTTGACGGAGCTGTTCGGTAAGCTCGCCAGCATCTAGACCGCTTCTTTAGCAGGCCCTTCCCCGCGGAATCTATCCACGGAGGCTGCGCTCTCGATTCCCTTCTTTTTACCAGTGGGACGTGAGGTGCAGAAATGTCGACGAGGTGAGCCTTAAGCTTTTCCCAGGCTATGTGAACAGTGTCGGTCTCAGATATCACACAAGGCGATGACCTAGCTCTATCCCGCATCGCTTGGAAGTCCGCGGCCCAAATGTTCGGATACCAACTGGTAGTAGCTTGGCAAGACCTGATAAGAGCACACTGGAAAGACAAGCAAACGTGATCGCTAGCGCCAAGAGGCGAGTCATATTTAATGTCATTTACAAAGTCAAGTGACTTAGCAAAAACAAGATCTAAAATGGACGGCTGCTGATTGCTCATGTACCTAGTGGGGAGGTCCACGAACTGGTGTAGTGGTACCTGCAGCGTCAAGTCCAGCAGTTCTGTACCGAACGATTCCAGCGTCGAACTGCAAGATAGATCATCCCAACAAACATCTGGGAGGTTAAAGTCTCCCAGCACCAGACACTTGTTCGCAGAGTGAGTGCGTATAAAGTCAATGATTCCATTGGAGGTGCTCATAGGGCTTCTATACACTAACACAACCGTAACCTGAACCGAGGAAGCGCAAATCAAGACTGCGAGAGCCTCAACAGATTTGTCGAGAGACTGAAAAACGCTGGTCCTCAATACGTCGATGTGATAACTCACATAAAGAGCTACACCACCCCCTTGACGGCCAGTGGAGCGATCAGCGCGGAACAGTGCGTAGCCAGGCAGATATACTTCGCCATCTGTGATTTCCTCAGACAGCCACGTTTCAGTGAAAGCAAGTATATCTGGACGAGATTTGTCTACGAGCAGACCCACCTCGCACATTTTGTTCCTCAGGCTACGCACGTTACTAAGTACTACTTGGAGTGTTTCGGCCCGACCAGCCCTGGGTCGTGCGCAATTAGTATAGGTTCTGGCAGGGCGGAAAAGGACCGCCGGCTGACCACCTGAAAACCCACCAATCGGAGACCTTGCTCGCCAGCTGCACGCCGGGCTTTTAGGTCTCTGATGGCTTCCTTTAACTTTAACCTATCCGCTAACGGAAGGTCTGGTTGCACACTAACGTTGGTACCTTTGAGTTTGAAGGCAAATCTCAGTAAGGCCCTGCGCTCTTCTGGGGTGGAGAGGACCACCCTAAGCAAACGGGGTCGAGGATTTGGTTGACCAACCGTAACGTTCCCCAATCTGATGAGCTTCCTGACAGTAACGCCAGGGAAACCTGGTGGTAAAAGCCTGGTCACACAAACTTTAAGCCAATCAAGATCCTCAAGCATGCGCTCGGCAGGAAGAGCTGCAGTGGATTCAGTGACGTTTCTGAAAATCACACTGCTATCTGTGTAAGAATCGCCTCGACGAGGTGTATTTACACCACATGCTCTACCATCCACGCCATATGGTTGTCTGACGGGAATTGGTGAAACCGAAGGCGACGGCACCTCTTGTCTCACTGAGGGAAGTGCAACACCAGGTGGTGTTTTCAAAGCAGGCGCTTGCTTCTTGAGCATTTTGTCACCTTCCGGTTTGGGGGCGGAGGGTTTGCGCGCTTTCCTTACCCTCTTACGCTTATTCTTTAATGGCTCAGGAGCCCGTGATTCGCCTTCCATTTGGGGCGGGTCAACAATGCCGTCCGAGGCATCTGTGTCTGTTATATCCACGTGAACAGGAGCGTCCGGTAGGATGAACTCCTCGTCAACGGTTGGACTATCAGCAGAAGGACAGTCAGTTACAGCGTCCACATTCGCGATATTCAGGGATTTCATAATCAAATCCACTTTAGAATTGAGCGAGGCAAGTGAGGCAAGCTCGGCTAATGCCTTCTCGACAACTGTGAATCTGGACGCTAGTGCTTTGAATTCAGCACAGGTGAAAGCCGGGAGCTTCGCTTTCTGAGCGCAACAATCAGCACATCTAAACAGAAGGCTTTCACTGGATGATAGCATCTTGTACTGATTCGCTCGGAGGCCGGTACAACTTTTGTGATACCAACGAGAGCAAATATCACACTGCATACCACCAGATGAATCTGTGACTGGCCTTGAACAGGCAGAATTGCTGCAAGGTGCATTTGACTCATCAAACGAAGACGCGAGGGCTTCATCCGTCCCGGTTTTTCGCGAGACGACCATATTGAAGTGGAAAACAACGCAGAATTTAAAAACACGTATACAACCGTAAAACTACCACAATAAAAAGGCAAAACAGGGTGTAAAACGGGATTAAAAAGGGAACAACCGCAAAATTACCAGTAAGCGTCAGGAAGACGCTTTGGCCAGTACCACTTTAGTCGACCCAAGATATCTTGGATCAGATGAAATTTGACAAGAGCCAAATTTCGTTTCAAGTGTTTATTCAAACACTGTTTTCCACGTTATTTCAACTAAAAATCTCGATCAGTATGGCACGCCAAAAAACCGAGTTACCGCGTAGCACTCACAGGAGACTGGATTTGTGTTCCGGTACGGCAAGCTAAATGGTGATGCTTTCATAATTAGATGTGAAAGAGATATATATGTGTCGCTTTGTGCATACGTATCTACGGGAAATGGTATTTGCTAAGATTTATTAGTAGTTATGTTCGCGCGGGTTTAAATGAGGTTAACTGGAGGAGGGCTTGTAGCGACCTGGAGATTCCCCAGTATGACTGTGTAAACTATTCTAAAATATTTAAATTATAGCTTTCTTATGTATTAGGGAACTATCCGGTTTGCCTGTTGGAATCATGGGATTATCCTGTGTGTTTTCCTTCTTCGGCGGGTCTTTGAACCAGGAGTTGGCGAACTTTGAAATACTGATGGACCTAAAACAAAGCCCGCATCACTCCCTGTCCAACCAATTAATGCCCACGTATCCTGCCCTAGCAGTCCCTGCTGGGTCGGTTACGTGAAGTAAGAGAAAAAGTAAACTCAGAAGACAAAAGAGAAAGTGGCAAGAGCTAAGCAAGTGGAATACCAAGTTATTTGTGTCATTAAAAAAGAACTGAAAAGTGAAGGTGATTCAGCTAGGAAAAAGGAAACGTTTGCAGTTGCCACCCAAGAGCATCGAGTTGGCGCGTAAAACCCTTAACCGTAGGTTCCCTAACCACATGATCTTGAAGCAAATTCCAGCGACCTATAATTCGGCGCGACGGACTAGTTTCCGTCCTAATCCTACCAAAAGTTGGTTTACGCAGTTTCAGTGGGTGACCGCGGAGATTAGGTAACGTAGCGGGACTAAATAGCCCTGACAATTCAGGGCCAATCTTACCCGTCAAAATACGATAAGTGAGAATCAGGTCCCCTCTTGTCCTTCGGTAGTACATTGAGTACAGCCCCAAACTTAGCAAGTCTTCAGGATACGTCTGTCCCCGTAGACCCTGCACTAGCCGAGCGCCCACTCGTAACACCCTCCCTAAGTCCATTTTGTCTGGGTTAAGACATGGTGGACAAGCCTGAATACAATATTCCAGGTGGGATCGGACGAATGCCGAAAACAGCTTCACAAACAAATTGGCCGTTAAGCTTCCGAAAGAGCGGCGGATAAACCACATCATACAAAACCCTCGACAAGCAGCATTCTTCCAGTTGTCTCCAGAATGAAGTGCTGATGCGTGTACGACTCCTAAATCAACCTGCTGAGTGACAACAGGGAGTTCACCACCGCCGACAACATATCGGGTGGGAGGATTTGCAGCTCCGATTCGCAGAACAGAGGATTTGGCCCTATTTATGGGCATCAACCATAAGGTAGACCATTCCCAGAGCCTATCCAAGCCATGCTGAATTGCCTCAGGACCCTCAGGGATAATCACAATATTCCAGAGTTTAAGGTCGTCAGCAAACATTAGTGAAGACACCCCTAGCTCTCCCGGCAAGTCGTTTACATAGATCGCGAACAACAATGGCCCCAATATCGAGCCCTGCGGGACGCCACTAAGGACAGCTTGCCTGAGCGAAAGACTACGCCCCACCGGTACGCACTGTTCCCTCCCCTCAAGGAAGGCAGACGCCCATTGAAGGGCGCGACCAGATATCCCGTAAGATCTCAACTTTAGTGAGAGCCGAAAATGAGGAACAGTGTTTAAAGCTTTCGAAAAATCTACGAATGGCACGTCTACAACATGGCCACTGTCTACCGCTTCGGGCCAGCTTTCACGAGCTACAAGTAGATAAGTCTGACGTTAAAATCTTTTCGGAATCCATGTTGCGCAACACTGAGAGGGCTGAATACATTCAGGTGGTTCTCCACTGAATCCCTTATCAGCTGTTCAAACAACTTGACTACTACGCTTGTCAAACTGCCAGGCCGGTAGTTCGCGGGTAGAGCTCTGTCACCGCCCTTGAATATCGGACAGATGATTGCCTCCTTCCATTCCGAAGGTAGGCTGCAGCTGTCCAGCGATATTGAAAACACGCATGTGAGCGGACCTCTCAGCTCAGTGGCCAATTCATGCGACAGCTTCGGATGAATTGAATCAGGACCGGAAGCTTTAGAGGGATTATTGCCTTGCAGTAGCTCGAAGACATGAGCCTCCGTTATGCTAAATTCAACTAAGCAAGAATCCTATGGAGCGCTTGAAACCAATTCAACTTTAGTAAATAGGTCTCCCGAGCAAAGACCCCAGTATATTGATCACCAAGTACACAAGCTTCGTCATAGTCAGTTTGCGCACGTGTCCCGTCTGCTCGTAATGAAGTTGATATAGACAGTTTTGCCCCGCTGCGTCTTTTAACGCAAGCAAAATCTTCTTGGGATTAGGTGCGACCGAGTCCGCTAAACGCTGCTCGTACTGGAGACGAGCAGTCCTGAGATGTTGCTTACATTTATTTCTAATCTCTCGATAACTATCATAGGTGCTGGCTGATGGAGCTGTTTGGTAGGTTCGCCAGCATCTAGACCGTTTCTTGAGTAGGTACTTGCCTGTGGTATCTATCCATGAAGGCTGTGCTCTTGACCCTCTTTTCCTAATGAGTGGAATATAGGGATTGGAAACCTCCGTAAGCTATGCCTTAAATTTATCCCAGGCTAACTGGACAGAGTCAGCCATCGAGATCTCACATTTCAGAACTGAAGCCTTAGTTCGCATTGCACTAAAGTCCGCCCGCCAAATATTCGGAAGTAATTCAACAGCGGTCTCTTGGTGCCTTGAAAGAGCACATCGAAAGGATATGCATGAGTGATCGCTGGACCCTAGAGGTGCACCGTATGAAACGTCAGTCACAAAGTCGAGGGACTTAGCGAAAACCAAATCCAAAGTAGATGGTATTTGGTTGTCCATACACCTAGTGGGAAAGTCAACGAACTGGTGCAAAGGCACTTGGAGAGTCAGTTCAAGAAAGTCTGCACCGAATGTTCCAAATGCCGAATTGCAAGAAAGATCGGCCCAACAGACTTCCGGTAGGTTGAAATCCCCTAGAACTAAACAATTATTCGCAGATTGGGTGCGAATAAAGTCAAGTATCCCCCTGGAAGAACTACCAGGACTTCTGTATACCACTATAACTGTAAACTGGGTAGAGGAAGTGCACAAAGCAGCCGATAGGGCTTCAGCTGTCTGATCCGACGACTGGAATGTGCAGGTCTCTCAACACATTTAAGTTACAGCTCACACGTTACAACGCCTCCGCCTTGGCGACCAAAGGAGCGATCAGTTCTAAGCAGCGCGTAGCCAGGTAAACATACCTCACCGTCCTTGGTATCCGGAGACAACCACGTTTCAGTGAAAGCAAGCATGTCGGGACGAGATTTGTCTACAAGTAGACCCAACTCGTGCACCTTGTTCCTTAGGCTACGCACGTTGCTAAGTATATAAAAAGTAAATAAATAGTTTATTCTCGAATTTGTCGAGACACACCAAACAAGGCATGATCAATATTTACATGCAATATTGCTTCGCAACAAACACGTTGCTATGAGTGTAGTCGGCAGTAAGCCGAAGATTGTACAGGCTGCGGAAATTGTGTGTATAGTCATGAAGGATAGAGTCTTCAATGAATGACGCAACGTTGAATTCTAGCGTGCGTAGTGTAACCGTCAGGGCACTACATGTGTAATGAAGGCGATACATATAGGCATGGTGTAACTTATTATTGAAAGTGTCAGGGCAATAATGAATAATGATACTGGTCGACTTGCCAGTAGGTTGTTCTGGACAGTGACTTTATTCAGTGGCGTGTCACATCCGCCACGTCGCAGTGTTGTTATACGGACATTTGTGGCTTTTTATAGGGAGAACGCTTGCCAGGCGAAAACCCACCACGTCCTGGAACACTGTCAGGAATTTGTTTGTGCACTAATATAAAACTGGCACCCCAAGTTGTCGACTGATTTCAAGGAAGTCGGCACGACCATCCGTGGGTCGTGCGCCATCAGGATGGGTTCTGATAGGGCGGAAAGTAACTTCCGGCTGACCGCCTGAAAACCCACCAGACGGAGGCCTTGCTCACCAGCCGCCCGTCTAGTTTTGAGGTCTTTGATAGCCGCTTTTACCTTCAATCTATCTGCCAGTGGAAGGTCGGGCTGAACGCTGACACCACTACCCTTAAGTTTGAACGCAAACCGCAGTAATGATTTGCGTTCCTCCGGGGTAGAAAGGACCACGCGAAGTAGTGGGGGTCGCGGATTTGGCGTAGCGATAGGGACGTTCCCTAATCTGGTCAGCTTTCTGACGGTGCCACCAAGGAAGTCAGGCAGAAGCAGCTTGCTGACACACAGTTTCAGCCACTTGATGTCATCCGAGATGCGTTCCCTTGGGAGAGCGGCCGCAGGTTCAGTAACGTTACGGAATATAACGCCACTATCCGTGAAAGAGTCGGCACGACGGGGAGTGTTTACCCCACGTGCCTTGGAGTCGACACCTATATCAGCTGTTTTCACCACTGGCGGTGGGACCGTCCCTGTCTTTACAAACGACGCCGAAGCAACGGTAGCGTAGGTTTTCTGCTCTATTGCCGGCGTCTTACTAGTTCCTGGGTCTTCAGGCCCCTTCAAAGTTTTACGAGCAGGTCTAGTCCGCTTCTTCTTTTGATTTACTGGAGCTGGGGCCGTTGACCTTGTATTGCATTGAGCAGTTACCAGCACTTCGTCGGAACAGGCTGGTTCACTGGCGGCCGAGACGGTCAGCATCGTCGGTATGTTCTGTGTACAATCTTTAGATGACTGTACGACTGCTAAGGACGGCATCTTTTTCGATGCCGTGGCAACTAATTCTCTGGGGTTAGCAGAGAGCTTTCGGTATTTCCGCACCCTGTTTTTCTTCGCTTTGATCGGCTCATGAGGACAGCCAGCAATGCTACCTGGATTGGCCGGTAGGATGTGCGACTGCATGACCGAGTGACAGACTCCAGTGGATGGATCGTCAGCAATGTTGCCGTCTATTGCAGTGTCATCAATCGAAATATTCAGGGATAATAAAGTTAAATCCATGTTCGTATCGAGCGACGCAATAGCGGCGAGTTTAACTATCGCCTCCTCA